TTGTGTTGATCACCTCGACGCCGCCAGACGCCAGCACAAAGACGTGCGAAAGCATTGTCCCCTCCTGGGCAATAATGTCCAGCTCACTGTACTCACGCACCATGACGTTGAGGCCTGTAATTTGCTCCTCCGTCAAGGTGAATAGATGGGGAACGGTGTATAGAAAACGGTGCACAGAGGAACCTCCATGTCGATGCATGACAACGCCGTTTTCTCCAGTCTGCGTTGAAAATGCCAGTGTGCTCTTTATTGGCTCTGAAACGTCAACAAGGTCCTCAAGATTGGGGTGCTCATTGGAATCATAGCTGGTTTTCTCCGCAGGCAAGACGGTGTCGGATGGTAGTTCGACGCTTCGGACACGCCCCTGGGCATCCAATGATATTGCGCTCATCCTCACACCTCCTTATATTTGGCAAAAAAAAAACTTGAATCTTACCTGTTAGCCGTGGCAATGATTTAAACAAAAAAAACGTAACAATAAAGAATCACTTGAAGATTGTGCTGGGCCTCACCCTGCAAAAGTAATAATAAAAAATCAATGGCAATCCCGCGACTTTGCAGAGTTATACGTCATCCCATTAAACTGGGAATGGAGCCGTAATCCGTTCCCTGTGGGAGGCGCCGCAGTTAATGCATCGAAGACGGCAATCTTGTCATCCTCACACTCCACATTCAGCGGCACCGGGTGCTGGGCCCACGTTCATGTAGTCATGTGAGTGTGGTTTCGAGACGGCATGGAAGCAAGGCATCGGCCAGAAATACCACTGTAACCCAGCGACAGCACTCGAGAAAGGCAGTTACTCCAAAAAAACAGTTCACCGCAGTCCCTGCAGTAACGGTGCCGCCACGTCAGCACAGCGAACGACCGCATGCACAACTCACACAAACTAGACGTCTCATCCCCCTGGCAGTGAGCCTTCATGACAGCTGGGTAAAAAAGATAAGGGTTACAGAAGGGATGACTAGCGTCCGCCTAGGACGCACCAGGCCATTTTGGTCGTATGCATGTAGTCAAAGAGGCAATAATAATAATAATAACATTAAAAGGGACATGACAGATCCTTCCTTAATAAGAGTCAGCCTCTCTTGCCTATCCTCCGTACTTACTCAAGCTACTGCTTCTTCCGTTTGATCTCGCCCGACAGACATGGACAACGAGTGCTCTCCCTGCAAATCAACTGCAGTGGTTCGCACGGTTCCACCCACGGCTCCCTTAGTGGCTTGTCAATCACTTCCGGTATCCCCGGCCGCGTGCCAACCGAGCGCCAACAGACCCGCTGCTGAACAGCATTGCTCGTTCGGTGCCCTTGTGTACAACTCAGTTCTCGCTCAGGGTTCGGCCGCCTACTGTTTTGCGCAGCGCTGTCTCTGGTGAATCGCTCTTTGTCATGCTCCCTCGTTGCATGATCCTTTGAGCCACAGCGAATACATAAGGAACTCATATAAGTCTATATCATCACTTGGAAGATTCGTGCAGCAGAACAAAAAAAGGGGGTAAAAAACACTTTTTAAAACTTGTCTTCACGCAAGCACACATACATACAAACACAAAGAAAGAAGCGCCATGATGACGTTAATCTTTCGCAGGCGGTGTCTTGCTCAGATGTCTGTAACGGCACGTGCAGTTTCACATTTTTCTCCTGCAGAAAGATGCATCAGAGTGTCTTGCCCACTCCCTAGACTAAGCGAAAGGAAAAAACGAAAAACCACTGGATTTTTTTTTTATCTTTCTTGCATCCGTTAAGATAGCTCCCGACCGCGCCTTCTCTTCCTCGACGATTTCCACACCACATCATCATCCGGCACCGACTGAGATCCCTTGCCAACGTACAAGCTCAAGCAGAGCTCTGCCTCATCGGTGCAACTCAGCAGCGGCCGTGAAAGCTGCAGCCGCGCCCCCGAAAATAGGACCATGGAAAAAAGAAGATCTGCCGCTGTGCCTTCAAGCTCAGTATTCTTTGCAGCTGCTGCGTCCGGGAGAGGGACAATGATATGCCTGCATGTGCCTCGTGCAATTCGCCACGCAACACCGGAGCCCTGCAGCGGGAGAGGGGCCACCGAGTCAAAGATGAACTCGTCCTCCACCTCGTCAGCGGCGTCGTGCGCCCCCCATGGGACGGCGGGCTCATGGGCAACGATCTCGATACGTGTCACCTCCTCCATCGTCTTCCGCAACGCAACCAAACTGGACCGCTTCTGCACCTTTGAAGACCGCAGCAAAGTAACAAGTTTCGTGGCGACAGCCACACCGTGCGTTTCCAGAAGCAATGGCAAATGTTGCACCACAAAAGGGCGTACCAAACCTCTCAAACACTGGGGCAGTAAAGCGAATGTGCCAAAGGCATGTGAGAGAAGTACCGCAACAGCCCGTCGAACACCTATGGATGGAGGCACCACACCACGCTTCCCCCATGAGTCTATGATGGTTTGCAATGCATCCAAAACCTCGTCGTGCCGCATCTGGCACTTGAACACAAAAGCAACAGATGTCTGTTCCAATGATGTTACAACTCGAAACTCAGCTGGTGAGAGCAATGACGTTGCGCTTACTGGGGCACTCCCGAGAGAGATAACGCGGTCGTCGTAAAACGAGAGTAATTTATCAGTGAAGCGAGTGACAGCACTACTCACAAAGCGGCGACGCTCCTGCAGACTCATTGCCTTTATGAGGGGGAAGGCATTCTCCAAGTCGCAGAGTCTTAGATGTCTGCTGGAACTCATAGAATAGTAGCTGAAGAGCCACATTACCAACTTTTTAGAGAGTAGCTCCACAGCATGTGTGGGGGTGCTACAGCCCCCCTCTTCATCAACTATCATCTGCGAGTGGAACGCCCACGACACATGCATCGGGATGCTGCGCCGTGTATAGGCGCCGTCTGTGTTTTGCACAAGTTGTAGCAGCCCGATGAAGCGACGGTAGTCCCTCTTTGGGGCGAAGAGGGAGGTACTACCCCTTTCACTCACTGTGCGGAGCATCTTGTCAGTCACCTCCACATGGAGACGCTCCCCCACCATTGGGAAACATATCGCTGGTGATCGCATAGTATCTGCCGACGCCCAGTGAAGGCAGTGGTACCTGGCGCTAGAAGTGATTTGTTCAAAGCCGTGCGAAACCCTTCCGAACCGCACGCCCGTGTCCCTTGCTTGGGCAGCAGGCTGCATTTCATTCCGTACAAGCAGTGCGGCTAGGTCGGCAGGATTTAAGTTGCTCGTTTGCAGAATCGTTGNTTCCCCCAGCATCACATCTGTCTCTCAGCGAGACAGTCTGCCTGTTCTTTTCTCCTCTGGTTTTTATTCACACCAAAACAACAAAACAAAGGTGAAGCAAGCAACAACTCAAAACAGCACAACACATTAATAAATAACAGCAAGGGAAAGCAATAGCACGACCAAAAAAATAAAAAAAAAAAGAAGGGAAAGACAGAGAGAGTGAGAGAGAGAGGAAATCAAACCCTCTGTCGAGCAGCACCCCAGGCACGTCAATACCGGAGCCCAATGCACCGTACATGATGTCGAACGCACGCCGATCCCTCCAAGTCCTCTACCCCGAACTCAAAGTTGCTTTACATTTGTACCCACCAGGTCATATCGTACATGCGCTGGTCGTGCATGGGACACGAGGAGGCGGCTCACCGAAAGCCGAACTCTGTTGCGACGTTGCCTTTCTTGAGCGACATTAAATAGTTAAGGCGTACCTTCTGCGACTCTGCTCGAGTGTCACTGCGAAAGAAGGGAGCGAAGCGTGGGGAGTCGCGGAAGATGCGGTAGAGAGAAACAAAGTCGTCCTCGTCAAGGGTCGCACGGTGGTATAAGCCCGGGGCAAAAATGAACAGGTCACCCACTTTGGCGTGGATACGGATCCATTTATCTTCCTTAGATCGCACATCGAAGAAGCACGAGCCATCGGTCACGAATCGTATTTGTTCATCCTCATTGTAGTGCTCTTGGAACCAACGCTCCAAGAATTGTTCATCTTTGCACGTCTGCGAAACCCGAATCTCATCTGTATGCTTGTATTGTCGCTCCTTCACAATCTGCTTCACAACAGAGAATTCATTCAAGCTGACGTTGTAATAAACCACGCCAAGCTCCTTCAACTGCTGGAGAGTCACAGGTGGGGAATCCCGCCGCCTCCCCTTCTTCAAACTGGCAATGCGCAGCGTCGGTTTCGATGTTTCGTCGTCAAGGTACCACGCTTGAACCATTCCGTCGGTCACAACAGAAGGTGGCACTGGTGGAAGATCATGAATGATGTCGGAGCCCAACTTGCGCCATTCCTCCTCCTGCTTTCTACGCCGCCTTTCTTCTTCAATGAGGCGTTCCTCCGCCTCTCGGCGCTTTCGGTCTTCCTCCTCCTTTTCTTGGGCCATCCGCCGCTCGCGCTCCTCCTTCTCCATCTGACGCTTCCGGTCACGCTCTCGGATCTCTTCCTCTTCCTTGAGCCGCTGCGCCTCGCTCTGTGGGTTAAAGATATCCATTTTGGCTTCGCGCACTCTTCCCGTAGGTGTATAAAGATATGTTCGTTTGCGTGTACGTGTAAGACCAAACCTTACGACGCAGATTATGCTAGACAAAACTAAACAAGACGAAAAAAAAAGGCAAGCAGTGCTAGCACACCATACACCAAGTAAAGAAAACAGAGGATAAGCATGGAAGTGAAAAAGCGCCACCAATCCATTAAAAGAGCAGAGAAAGGTTCAACTCCTTTCCACCAAACTGCTACAAAAAATTCAGACGGCTGTGCGGGAGTGCCCTCCTCCGTCGACGCTCATACTCTCTAGAGACGAGAAAACATGCCAAGGCGCCATCCCGTTGTCCGAATAGATTCATCGAGAGCCTGAAGAAATCTGATGCATACACAACGTCATACCACCGTAGCGCCTTGGCGAGAATACGTTCCTTCATGTCCGTCAACGACGACGCAAGCCGCTCTGCTGCCTCCTCCAGAGTAATCTGAGTGTACCGCCACCTCGCCCGGTTCGATGCCTCCGACATACCTAGAGGATCACAGTGCAGAACACGCATCCCCACCTCTCTTGCCTCTCGTGAAGAGGAGTAATCCTCACCGCTAAGAAGAATCGCATAAATGTTTTGCCGCATGAGTGTGTCTGCATCGCCGTGGGATACTCTTCTCCACACAAGAGCCTTGCGGATAGAATCCTCCGTTACCCATGGCATTGTACGACCCGCATTTATTTGCAGCGCGCATTCCGCAATGGCCTCTGTCTCAGGTGAGGCACCAGGCGAAGCGGCGTAAACATCGTCGTTCGCAAGAATCACAGTCTCTATTGTTTTCCAAACGGTGCCACTGTCCTCCTCGTCGTCAGAAATTCGTGTACACTCATATAGCTCTCGCTTTAGCTTGCGATACCTCTGAGCAACTTGGAATATCGTGCGGCGATGACCGAAGCGCTTAAAGATATCTGCTGCGATATGATCCCATTGTCCCCTGACATAATCATTCCCGGTAATAAGGTGGTCTTCTTCTACCGAATATCGATCTGAAGACGCCGCTACCATCTGTTGATAATGCTGGTAGCACTGAAAATCATCCACAGATTGAGTCGCCTTTGAGTCGTAGTTGACGGCGTCAGCAACCACCTGCCATCGGGCGGGGTCCTTCACCTCCCACGCATCCAAGCCGACACGGTCCACCTGCCGCTTCAGCGACCTTGTTGCCCGTTGGTTCCAGCGAAACTTGGGCGCCAGTGCGAAGCAGTGTTGGGGCGGTTGTGTTTGGAGTGGAGCCGCGTGCACATGGGAATTGCAGCGGAACTGAAAGATTGTGTCCGAGTCGGACCTCAGTAACTCATGCGTGCCCGTCTCTTTCTTCGTTACGTGTGGTCTCTTCAACGCAAGACGAAGAGCATCCGTGGAAGTTATATGAAGTTCAATGGTCTGAATCATGGCATAAACATGTGCCTGCATTTCTCGGTTTTCGTGCAGCAATTTGTCAACGGCATCGTCGGAGGTGGCAGTCATACCGCAGTACACATCCGTCTTTTCTGTATATATGTGGGTGCTTGCACCTAGTGGTAGAGTGGGAAAGAAATGTGGTATGACCAAAAAAAGCATTAGCGGTTCTTCTGCATTCGTCCCCTCTTTACCCCTGTGAATGAAAGAAAGAGACCACTACCGGTAGTAGTGGTAGGGCGTATGAATACCTGGCATGTAATCAATTAGAGAAAGAAAAACATTTCGAATCAAAATATCGTCCTAAGGTTTATTACGAGAGAATGCATTACCCCTATTACAGGCTGCATAGATGGGACAAAAAATGCAACTATGGCTTCACCGTTGCCACAAACAATTTTCCTTTTGAACATGAGACAAAAGCTTTCCGTGGAAAGTGATCAGAAACCTCTACATTCATAAGGGGAAACGGTGAAGCAAAAGAAGCCAGCAACTCACCTGATGTAAAAGACGTAACAAGAATGCTGTGTGGTTTTGTTGTGATTGTCCACAAGCACCCTGTTTTCTTGCAATACCTCGTTAACAACGGCACATGGTTTTCTACAGCTGAAGAGAGTCGCATAGAATCATCTTCGATCTCGCTTCCAGAGACACAGTCAAACACCTGCAGCTGCTGATCTGCCCGCTTTGAAGTCACAACGATGCAACTTGTGTCAAGGACAGGCTCAATGCCATCGGCAGCAATTTGCGTCCCAACAAGGCATTTTCTTGATTCCAGGTTGCGCATGTCCCAAACTTGGATAGGGCTTCCCCACCCACCGCTAACAGCGAGGGTTGGTGTTACAAAACGAACGGACAGAATACGATTGGTATGCGCTGATTGCACAAATCCGTCCTCGTCAAATCTCCTGTTCATGATGCCCCGCAGGGTGCCATTTGCGCCGTAGCAGCGCACGTTACGATCACTACCGGCGGTGAGGAAAGCATCACCATCTGGGGAAACGGCAAGGCATGTGATCTCATTGTCCTTCTCATGCACCCGCACAATTCGTTCAATGATGTCACCGTCCCAGCGCCACACAAAGACGCCACCCCCACTGGACACGGAGACCAAATCGTACACACACCCCTCCTCCTTCGCCAGCCACCGCACCGCAGTACTGGGGAGATCGTCGTATGACTTGCCAGCTGCACTCCGCTGGAGCACGTGGAGTGTTCGGGGGTCCATGATGAAAAGCGAACCATCACCGAGTACAGCCGCAAGATATTTCCCATCAGGAGAAACGGCAGTTCCGTACACATGCTCCTCACGGTCGTCAATCTTAACAAGACTCACGTGCATGTTCTCACCCTCTAGTTGGGTGGCGAACTCCATTTCTTGGAAACTAACAGAGTGTCACACTATGAATCTAGCAACCGAGAAGGTGCAAGCAAATAAAAATAAAAATAAAAACACATTTTTTTTTTTTTAGGGGGGGGAGGGGGGTCAACACATGACAAAGACAAGAAAAGGCTGAAGCGACGCGTCTGTCTTTTCCTGTTCTGTTTGTTTTCCTTCGCGTCTCTGTTTCAAAGCAACACGTGCACAATACGCAAGATGGAAAACCAGCCAACAACACCACAGTTCACCCCATCTTACAGAGCGTAGAGGATGGACTTCCTCCCCAGGGCAAAGAACACTGTCAGCACCACCATCACCCCTGTGTATGCGATCGTCTCGATGAGACTCATCACCTTGCTGCCAAAGGTCCAAAATATACAGGCCACTGCCACGCATAGTATGGCGAGGGACAAGAAGGCATGCATCATCCCGACCACCCAGTAGAGGGCCAGAACCAATACCCACCGACAGTTTGCACAAATCAAGCGACGGCAGGCGAAGAGTCCCAACAGAACGTAAATGACTGAAGTAGCCATACATGCGAAAAATATCAGTCGACCCCATATTGACGCTATTTGCCCATTTTCCTCATCACTAACGTCCATTTCCACTTTGTTCTGTGCTACACTAAAAACACAAAACAAAAATAGATATGGCATAAAAGGGCAAAACGAAAATCTTCAGCTTCCAGTACTCACGTTCCTTGGTCACATCTATCCAGATGTCCATCAGTTTAAATACGCACCGAACAATGTGATTTTTTTTTTTAAATCGCAGTAAGATGTTTCGTTGCTCAGATTTCTTAAATAATATGGTTTCTCCTTATGCGTAAAGTCCCACTGCCATCACCTGGCCATTAGAGAAAACGAGCCCGTTGAGCTGTTGAGCTATAAGTGTATGTAAGCCACGATCCACCATTCTAACAGCAGCCCCGCTATCTTCAAGAATGTCTTTCGCCTCCACTGCCCCATATCGTTGCAGGAGTGACATCAAAGAAGCTTCCGTAAAAGAGACTCCGGAGAAGTGTAAATCGCCGCTAGACGGAAATCGGTCCAGTATGGGTTCAAAAACCGGCGGTGCAGAGGAGTACACATGCAATGCAGAAGATGTTACCATAGGAGAGTACAGCACGTGTGGTGATGGCGCCGCTGCGGTCAGCGTGGTTTGTGGATAGAACATGGGGAAGGGTGCCGGCATTCCCAGCACAGGGAAGGCAGGCATTGGCGGCACCATCGAAACCGGTGGAGAATAGAGCGGGTACGGTGAGGGATGCTGTCTGTATTTTGGGGAGTGTTTTTGACGGTTTTTGTTGCGCTCCTGACGTTGTTGTCGGACCTCAGCGGTCTCGGAGAACTTTACCTCTAGCTCTGTGTCCCAGTTTTCGATTCGAATGGTTTTCCTGGCATCAATAGCGGCTCTTGCCTCTTCAATGGATGAAAACTGCACAAAACCAGAACCCTTGCACTGTCCGAGAGGGTTCATCAGCACAGCAGATTCAACAATATTGCCAAAGGGAGAGAAGCATTGCTTAAGATGCTCTTTGGTTGCCCACTGCGGGAGACCTCGAATGAAAATACGATCATTGGGAACGTCGTCTACGCCCTCATCATGCATCGCAATAGACACATGCAACAGCACTGGGCTGTTCGACATGGGATGCGTTAAGTGCGTTGCATTGATTGCAGCATGCGCCGATTCTGGTTTTCGAAACATAACAAAGGCAAAATGTCTGCGTCGCACGATCTTTGTAGAAATAATCTCGCCGAACTCCTGAAACTTCTGACGCAGGTCATTCTCGTCCCATGACGGCGGCACACCAGCCACAAAGATGTTCGTTGGAACATGCGGCGTGAGTGATGCTTGTGGGGTTGTGCCAGTGCTGTTGTCGTTTTCCTCTAGAAGCTCTACGTTCACGTCGACATGCAGCAGTGGCTTGTACGATTCTACCGGCGCCTCCGTCGAGTCCTCTGGCGGCACGCTATCCATTCTTACAGCGTTGCGAAACACTGGATCCTATTTTCTCCGTAATTGTCTGGGTTTGGAGGGGAAAAAAAGGCACTGCGCAAAAGAAAAAGAAGAAGAGACCGCTAGAAGCACGAAAACAAAACGGTAACCCACTCACCCCCGTCTTTTACACACAGACTAAACATTTAACAGAACAAAAAACACGCACACTTACACACACACACACACACACATATATATATATATATATAATTCACTCGTGTATGGCAATCAGGAGTAATAAGTGTTTCTGGTGATTCGTAACAAGAACAAATCAAAATGAAAACAGAAGAAAAAGCGGGACCAGCGCATCATTTCCCCAATTTCACACTACGCACTTACGTTTCCTTCAACAATTCTCTTTGCTCCTTCGTCGCCAATGTTTACGAGTAGTTGGAGCAACCACTTCTTCATATTAGGGTTGCTTTCCAATGCCTGTTTGTACGTGTCGTTTCGCATCTCCTCTGGCAAGCATCGGCTCAGCGCATCACAAGCACGCGGGTTCTCTGAAAGTCTCAAGTAGCAACGAATGATGTGACGAAGAAGGCGTGCACTGCAGTCCTTCGAGTTGACCATGCTACGCAGCACTGTGGCAACCGCAGTAAATCGGTCTGGTGTCTGGCAGACGTATTGGAGACCCAGTTCCGATAACAGCAGCTTCTGCACAATGAAAGTCGCCAGCGTCTTTGAGAACTCCGTTCCGGTCTCCATGATTCTCAGGCAGAGGGGAAATATCTCTGTGCCGAGGAGGTAGCGCATTACATCCTTGTCGTCTGTCTTCACAAGGGCGCCAATGACACCAAGCGATGTGAGGCGAAGACCCTCCGCACTCTCATTCGACCCGCGAAGAAACGGATAGAGGAAGAGGCAAATTTGGGCCTCAAGAAAAACACGCCGTGTTGAATCGTGGAATGCGACAGTCTGCAGAAGCGTAAGCACACTACCAACTCGACTAGTCGTCCCCTTTGCGAGGAGCTGCGGAATACTCAGGAGCGGGTAGACAGAGATGATCTCCTGCAGTAGAATCGCCATAGTTCCCACGCCGTACCACAGGGCGGGGCCGAGAAGCGGGAATGACTCACGGTGCCTTGCCAGATCTAAAATGGCCTTCTCACGCAACTCAGGTTTGAAGAGGTTCTCGAGGAGGGTCAGCATGCTCCTCGTCTCAGGGGAGACCGGCGCCACCGTCGGGTACGGCTTCATCGCCGGCTGCTGCGCCTGGTAAAGGGCATACTGCATGTACGGATGGCCCTGATGCATCGTCGATTGTTCTAGCTTCCACAGTGATCTGTCACGCAGGGAGATTGGGAGAGGACGTGCCACACGCAAGCAAAAAAAAAAACTCACGGAAAAGCAGACGGACAATTTTTCTTTGTAAAGGACAAAGAAGAGAAAAGGCACAGTGAAAAAGTTTCTTGCAGAACAAAAAATATATACTTAGTACGGCAACACTTTCTAGGCTCAAGCGCCACACTTGGCCCTCAGGAGGCGCAGACCCATTCCACTCACTTCATTCATACACCCACCCACCCATACAGAGACACACACACACACACACACACACATATATATATATATATATATATAAACAGAAGGTCGGTAACGCAACGAGTAAAAACAAACAAGTAAGGAGATAAAGCAAAGTAAGAGGCACAGAACACTGTTTTGGGTATCACACGTGAAAACCAGCCTCAATGAATACCGACCCCTTGAGAGAGCTTGTGTCTATCTGAACGTTTTCGTTCACCCAACCGCCTTCGGTTGCACCTCAATCGCCTCCACTCTGGGGAGCGCGATGCACCCCCACTATTCCTCCACATTCATCTCGTGTGGTGGAAAATCTCGCTCACGGCCCTTACCCCAGCACATTTTTCTCACCTTGATTTGTTTGTTTGTGTACGTTCTTGCATTGTGGTGACATGAAGCCGCCAAGTAAACAAAAAAGAAAGGCCACAAGTCAAAGCCAAACTGCTCATAGCAGTCTCCAAGATGCCATTGTCGTTTGCAAAACAAATGAGTGTTTAAAATAGCATTCACTCCAGTTTGTAGAGAAACTCTGATCCCCTTCCCTGCACCAAGTACAATAGTGAAAAAAGAGTTGCACATCGCTATTTTTTGTTGTTGTTTGTGAGCCCTTGAAACCCCCACCCAAATAAGGTAGAGATCAGCAACCATGTTACGCATCACCTCCTCTTGGGTGAACAACGGAGGGCATTCCCATCTGAGCAAAAAGGCGAGGAAGGCCAAGGCAGTAGTGGTAGTATACGAAGAAGCCGGTCAGCGTTCTTCATCAGAAGCGTATACTCCCTCCCAACCCCTCCGCAGGGTCCACCATCCTTATAGTGTCCACGGCACCACTATAGGCCACTAGTTTACCAGAATGGGTACCATCCAGACCACGACTGCGCGACGTTTGTGATGTCAGTTGCCTCTACAATAAGCCGAGCCACTTGAACCTTTGGATCCATACTCACACCACATTCCTCTGTTTGCAAAAACTCCTCTCCTTTTAGTTTTGATCGTACCCGCTGAAAAATTGTCACACCCTTGTGAACCATGTCAATTTCGTTTCGTACAGATACAGCATTAACACCCTTCATGGCTTCTGATGAAATAGTCTCCCTTGGGCGCTCTCCCACGTAGCGAAGGTGTGACTGCAACTTCGCCACCCGCATCTGCTCCTCAATTGTCCGATGATCAGTCGATGCCTCTGGCTCCTCCCCTGGTCGGTTCATCAGTCGCCATGAGATGAGGGGATCTCGGATAAATGCTTCTAGTATGGCGAGGACGCTATGGCTGCCGTTGCGCAGCACGGACATGGCCGTCTCAGCCGTGATGCGAAATGCACCTTGCACACCAGAAACATCAAGTGCATTCCGAAGCATTCGGGTGAGTCTGAAAGGAACTTTTTCAGGAAATTTGTCGCGTGTCATGGCGACCTCGAAGCAGTCACCAAAATCAATGTGCACCAAGAGGCCGGATGTACGCTGGATCATGATATTGTTGGGGTGACGATCACCAAGACCAAGGATGTATCCCACCACACTTGTGGTTGCTGACGAAGTTGTAAACACCTTGCGCTGTTCTAACCACGTTTCACAGCTTGCAGCAGACGCCCACATGGCTTTACGGATGTCGTGCCCCGACGTGTGATCAGCGAGGAACTCCATCACCTCCACCTTGGACATGATAGTGAGGTAATCGTACGCTTTGGGTTGATCATAGAGAATGATCTGATTCAGCATTCGCAACTCCAGCTCAGGGGGAATGCCACGGAATCCTCTGTACTTCTTTACAAGTTCATGAAGGGTGTCGCATCCGCTCACCCAACCAATGAGGCCCACGTTATCTTTGATTGGTGTCACAGAGTAGCGTTGGATCTGGAATCCAAAGTTCTTGTAGGTCCTCGAGTCAGACATCATAAGGGTGTTTACGAGCCGGAAGAGTTGCATGACACGTTCGTCAAGCCGAAGGTCCTCGCGTCCTTTAAGAAGATATTTTTGCTTCTTCCCTTCAGCTGTGATGACACTTAGGCGCTTTGGTCTTTGCTTGCTAGGAATCACAACCAGTGTATCGTTGAAAGAAGCGATGCAGCACGCAGTGGCCTCTTCCGCTGGCATAACCTCGGGTATACCCACTGAGAGGTTTCGTGCCTCAAATAACTTTGGGCTACAAAACGGAAGGGGTAACCGGTTGTGTGACTTTATCTGCTCATCAATCTGTCGGTAGACCCCGTGGTATATGTTCCAGGAAGAGTGTAGATCTGCCACCGATCCCGTTCGCAAGTATGATCGTAACCACTCATTTGCTTCATCAAGACTTCTGCTGTATTTGCAGGTGAATTCAGCCTCCAGAATAGTCTCAGGCACACGATGAAGTTTCTCATGCAAAGGCAAAAGCGCCTCCACCATCTCATGATAATTCCTACGTCCAAAAAATGCCGTCGCGGCAGTTTCTAAGCGATCGTACCACTGTTCATATAGTAAATCTGATATTCGAAGCAACTCGTCTATAACAATACGACCCTGGAAAATGATGATAGGGTATTTGCTTTGTAGTTTCTCGAGGATTGTGTTGGCCCACTTCTTGCGCCGTTCGGAATCCGACATAGTGCATAAGTTTAATGGGTAAATCAAAGAGAGTGGATAGTCAAAGGCCACACTAGTAAGGATGTCAGCGATGAGTTGGCAACTTTCATCTGATCCAGAGTCCAAACGGGCGACAAGCTGTGGCACAACTAATTGCCATGCACGCGAGGAGACATCTAGTACTCGTTTGTTCAACTCCTTCATGCCGTCTTCCTGATCACAGTGACGACTCAGAAGCGTAAGCAGTTTGAGGACATCTTGAATCATGGTGGAATCGGATGTTCCAAGCTTAATGCTCTGAATGTATCCTTCAATCGCGGCAGCGCACACACTGTCAGAGTACTCCACATTAAGAATTTCGGCGTTCGTTTCGGCGTACATATGCCATGCGTGAAACCAATTGGGATCATACAGTGTGGCGGTCATGTAGCAGTCAATAGCCTCTTTTGGTTCTGCCATGGTGCCGAGGCGGGCATAAGCGCGAGCCAGCAGAGCGGAGTTTTCCGCCTTGGAGTATGTGTCAATCATCTTTTTAAGAAGATCACTCTCGAGGCCGTACTGGGATTCCTGCCCAAGCTCACCGTTTCCAGAAAGAAAGCTAATGTACTGCATAACAACACGTGGATTGATGTTGCGGTTCATCAGATGTTCATACGTTGGGCAGCGGTTTCCTAGTAGTTGATGAAATGTGAAGCGCTCAAGCTGTCTCACCTTGGCACGACGGCAAAGTTGCACAAAACGTAGGCGCGTCGTGACATCTTCGCTTGGTGGGATGAGCAGTCCTCGAACACCAAGCACTTGCTTCCACACAGGAACGGTCGGTGACATCATCTCGATACGCTGATCCCATAACCGAGAGATACGACGTAGGTGCTGCATCGATGAAGCTTCCTCTGCACGCTTAGCCGCAATCACCTCCTCTAGCTCCTTCAACTCCTGTGCGATGACGAGCCCTTCATACGCCCGTGTATACGACTCGTGTAATAGCCCTGAGAGGTCCTCCAATAACAATTTTCGTCCTTCACTCACAGAAAAGGTGGCGTCGTTGTATTGTCCATTGTGAATATTCATCGCTGCTTGTGATATGTGGTACTGCACGGTATCCTGGGGAAGCCAGCGCAGCGTTGCCTTCAGTGTATTCCACGACTGCAGTCGTATGGCAGCATCTGCAGCATACTGTGAGACATAGAAGAGAATGTTATTCTCTTCATTCTCCACGTCCTTCTCGTTGTATCTATGAAACATGGTGTCCCAGTGTTCAATAACCTTGTCATAGTCACCAAACTCACTTAGATTCATCATTTGTCTCGCCTCCCGCTCCAATACAACATCTAGCGCCGCATCTTCGCTACGGAAGGAACCATTAGCATCAGATAGCGAACGACCTGCTCTTCCAGATACGCACCGAAATGTATTGCCTCGGTACGGCAGTGGCTTTGCCGAACTCGCATTGCTACTCCCAGAAGCTCCCATGTCTTTTTCAATCTCACGCTGCGTCAGCTGCACCATCTCTGTGTAGCCAGTGAGCTTTAGGAGGCTTGACTGTCGCAACAGGAAGCGTTTCTGTTCCTCATCCGCCTCATTTAAAATACCGACCGCAGAATCCACTTGATACAACTCACTGTAGAGGTTAATAAGCGACTCGATAGTGCCAGATGGGTTCTCACGATAAGCCGCCTCACGCCAGTAGAGCGCCTTGGCGAGCATGCCACGCCGCCACGCGCACTCGGAAAGATCATTGGGTAAAATAGGGAGTGTCATACCGACAATGTCCATGTACTCCACGAGGGACAGCAGCACCGTGATTACATCATCTGGCACCGCTGAGGAGCGCATTGGTTGTTGAAGTGTCTGCCGGAAAAAATCAACAATGGAAGAACGAACAGAGGCACTGCAGAAGTTCCACAATGCGCGAAACGCGAGACGCACAATATCCTGTGTGAACTGAGGCGAGCATTCGACAAGTGGTATTGCATTAGTCCCAATAGGTAGCGAAACGCAGCGGAATACGCGGTATGGTGACTCCTGCATGATTGTAATAGAGAAGTGGTCAATCCACTTAAGCCACTCTTCCTTTGTGAGTGGGGCTGTCTTAGTACTGCTGATAATACGTTTTTCCGAGAATTGCAGCGGCCGTTCATCGTCACTAAATACTGTAGAAGTTTCATCAGTGTTTATTGTCGGACTCCACACGTCCCCAAGACGTGAAATGCCTCGAATAACCATAGCCTCACACTTCTTAAGGGCACGCACTACATGATCGTTGTGGTCCGCTAGAGAGGCATCGCTCAGCGCACAGCGAAATCCCTTCCCTAACAATCCGTGAAGAGCCATGAACTCCGAGTTCGAGATTCGGAGTGTCTTGAGTGTACGCATGACCTCTGGCGAGTACTTCATGAAATCCCCTTGCATCTGCACTACCAGTACACAAAACACACTCATGACTCGATTAACCAATGTATTAGACTCGGTGACCCTCGTGATGACATGTAGATGATGCTTTAGACAGGCAAGCAGACCACGCACTATAGAGCCACCTAGCTTATCCACATTCAGCCTCCAGCATACTTCCCGTAGCGTTGTCACAACGCATATGACAAATTCTACAGAGCTTTTCAGTGTAGCGCGAAGCAAGTTTGTAACTACAAACTCGGTGCACGCCTGGAGCGCTTCGGTATGTTTTATGATGTATTCGAGGATAGCATATCTAAGAAACTCTGAGGAATCTGCATCATTAAGTGCGTTGAACTGAATGTGGAGTACAAGTGTGTTGTTGCGTTCTGATTCCCTATGTCCCTCCATCTCCAAGCTCCTAATGGTGGATGCGAGTCGCACAGTGAGAAAGCGGTACGCGGCACATTTATTCCAGGCCTCATCAATGAATTTGTAGAGGACATTGGCCTCCGCAAGAGCAGCAGCTCCAGCGTACTTCACAATTTGTGTTAATTCATACAACACAGTACCAAAGAGGCGGCCACAGTTCAGCTCACTTGCAGCTCGCACGACAGGTCCAATGACGACGCCCATTTCGGCGCGTGAGCATGGACAACGCTCGCCAATATTGAGGATGGTCTGAACTCCCACCAGAAGCAGGCTATCCTTACTGCCCAAGAAACGTTTCTCGTTTGGATCCAGCACAGAGGCAATGGCTTGGAGGACAAAATGGCAGCACATGGAATGGGAGAGTACATTCGGAGTATTCCGCTCCAGTTTGTTTTGCTTTGCTTCATGGCCGATCGCCAATGACTGAAATATGGTGGTGTCGAGCGCCCCAATAGTGCCGGCGCAACGCAACGCCTCAAGTCGCACTTCCAAGTTCTCGTCATTATTCTTTAAGATGTCGGAGAGCTGACGGTACAAGTGTGGGTACACATCGTACGTCGGGCGGCCTCCAACCAGCGGACCAAGCGTGGTGCCAAGAAAACGTAGACACCACAACCTCGAGTCGACCAACTCGGCGTCGAGCGGTAGAGAGTCTAGTAATTCACCCATTCGCTCCACCTCCACGGTGAAAATCAATTCGCTACGACCAAAAAGATGTGCTGCATGAGCTACAGATGTACAGCAGCGTAGAAGTGGTTGTAAAATGGGCGAGTGTGCATTCAGTGAAGAGAAATGTGGTTCGAGAGCATTGACAATACCCTCAGCAAAGTTTACTACGAACTGCGGTGCATTTGACGCGATGGCATCCAAAAGTTGTAGTCCATTCTGGACTGCTGTCACGTTTCCATTATCAGAGAGAGCGTGAAGAACCTGCACCACCTCTTTGCGAAATATCGGTAGAATATGCGAGGGGTCGTGGCTAATCATGCGACAGAGCAACTCCGTTGCGGCAACACGACAGCGAATATCCTCGTCACCGAGCGCAGCGTAGAATTGTGTCAAAAACTGCACCTCACTGAGATACGGATAGAAGGCCGGAGTGAAGGATTTCAGAATGGTCTGTCGTAACACCGGATCAGGGTTGGCGAGGCCAACAACAAGCATTCGCGAGACGATCATGTCGACACATATCCTGCGAGCTATTGTCAAATCGCCCCTTACACCGGATGGTATTAACAACGTCACAATAGTACGAATGGCAGCATTCCGCACCGAATCACTTGTGCTATCAATGAGCGGAAGAACCGAGTCACGGAGGAAGTCACCCATCAGCTCAGAGTTCGAAAAACCAAACTGCACCAATGCGTTGATGGCAATTACGATTTGGCTCTCTGTTGGTTCGGACTCTGGATTAATGGGGACATTCGCCTTGAGACCAGATTGCTGCCTAAACGGCAATCCACAGAGTGTCACTGAGATCATGTCAAGTAGCGCCTCCTCTAATTTTGTCCGGTACTTTGCACTGGACGATGAAATAATGTCCCTCATGCATTCAACCAATTGCGACGAGAGACCCCAGCCGAAAACGTTCTCGATACAGGACTCAATATAGCTCTCTACATCAGCAGGTGGACATTCACGGCATATAACTGAGAAGCACTTGAGTGCTTCCCAACACGGGGTTGGTGACTTCTCCGATACGAAGCGTACCGCATCGCATACCTCCTTCACAAAAGGGCTAAAGGCCTTTTTGCCTACAATAGGAATAATGTCACTGAGCATCTCGAATGCGGCACAGTGTTGTAAAAGGTTCTGAATGGACTTGAGTGCAAAACTCACGGTGTCCTTCAGCTGGTTGGTAATGAACAGTGCCGTGCTGTATCGACAAAGTACTACAAGAGAGCGGAAGAGAAGCTCCCGTACAAGATCTGAGCTGGTAGTTGATCCCCCCGTCATGAAATAGGGTACTAACATAATCGATACATCCTCATAACGGGGCTGCGATGGAGTCCCCATTGAACTCATCAGCACCGTCTCGAACGCTAGTAGTCCAGCCATGTTGCTCTCTTTCAACTTGGCTGCAAGATTGGACTTGAGCTGATGAAGCAATGTATCGATCGTCTTGGCCCGAAGAGCCGGTGACCGGCTGCTAAGAAGTTTCCCACATGCCTTAAAGAGTTGCAGCGACGTATTACGAACCATCTCATTCTCTGAGGCCAAGCTGCTCCACAACTTTTCCAAGAGAGTATTCAGCTTTGGAAGAATCAACATGGGAATCCGCACAACAACCTCCTGCAGGAGCAACAAGCCACATATCCGCCTTACACACATGGCGGGCTCCGTCAACTCAATCCAAGAGAGAGCGTCATCAATCTGACTTCGAACAAAGTCTGACGTCATGCTACTAACTAACGTCTCCGCAAATGTTCGCGAAGCGGCTATCGCGAGTGGGACATCACTTACCGCGCAGAGACAAAGCCGGACATAGCTGTTGCACTGAGACACCTGCGTCGTCGTCAGATCGAGCCTGAGTAGAATGTCCAGCGCTGTGAGAGCGCACGAGACTTCAAGCGCATTTCCCCCAACCACATCAAAGATCTCCAAACACAGCAAAAAAGAAGTGACTGTGGTTTCGTAGTACGTGAGGTTCTTCCTCTGAAACTCCTTGGCCTCCTTAATGGTCTCGTCCAGAAACGCCGCGTGCTTTTCTGGCTGCGCCGCGACGGCACGGATGGTTGCCGCCAGGTTTTGCGGTCCAGACACTATAGAAGACATTACGGTCCGTGAAACACCAATAAAAGGAAAAGGTCTTTGAGTTGTATTTTTGTGTCCTTTTTATTTACTCTGTATTCCCCTTCCTTTTGTTTTTTTTTGTTTTCCTTTACCTTTTCTTTACCTCATCCTTTATACGTGTGGCGGATGAAGCATGTGGCAGTGACGCAGGGGAGAGAATGCAGAGTGCGATGGGAAGTTGAGTGGTTGTGCATTTGCATAGATAGATAGATATAGATGTATATATATATATATATATATGCATACGTATGGATGTTTGTGTGCACGCTTGCAGAAAAAGAGTTGATACCTTGTCCTCCTTCCCACCCCTCTCTCGCTCTCGCTCTCTCTCTCTCTCGCTGATACACACATACTTCCACCTCTCACTTTCGCTCTCGCACACATCGGTTCCTACAGCACGCATATTCTAGCGAATAATAGCGGTCTTTTCGAAGCAGTAATCATTGTATTCCCATTTGGTCTCCACCTCGAACGGCTCGCCAATCATCACGCCATCGTTGGTGGCATCGGCAATCTGAAACTTATTGATCGCCCTGCACTCGCGGTAGAAAAGCACGCGGAGGCAGTCCTTCACGACCGCCATTGCCTCCTCTCGTGAGAGGCCGCCCGGCTTCTCTAGCGCCTGCCGCAGCAGCGGGAGGGCCATGTGGGCGGCGTAGCCGGTGGCGACGCAGTCATCAGTCCACTGCGTGCCCACGTCATCGACGCCGCCAAGAAACGGCTCGCCGTTGCGGCACCCCACCACGACGAATTGGCAGAGGCACGGCTCGAATTGGTTGCGTTTGTGGTAGACATTGCGGTGGAGGTAGCAGAAGATCTCCCTCGGCGTCAGTGCACCCCCGCCGTACATTTGCTGTCGGTTCACGTGGCTTTCAATCATAGACACTGTCTCCTGGAAGTCCGCGTAGTCGCCGGTAGCGACAATGGCGGAGTGGGCACCGAGCGGTTTGATGCGGGGAATATTCGGCCACTTAGCAAGAGAGCCGTACGAGAGGAGCGTGTCGCACGCCAGTAAGACGCCGCCGTTGTATTTCACACCTAGCACAGAGCCTCCACTGGCCATTTTATCTTCAGGAGCACAATGACAAAACTATGAAAAAAAACAAGTAGAGAAAAAATCCGCAAACGAATAAAAAAAACGCACTTGAAGGAAAGCACACTGCATCACAGGAAGCCCCAATCATTCGCCACCAACAAATCATTCGTGTACACCATCACTTCCCAACATGAGCACATCCATGTATGTGTGTATGTGGGTACGTTTCGTTCGCTAACTTTTTATGATCACCTCAGTTCTACCGTGTATCGTCTTGAGAACCGCAAGGGAGCCACTCAATGGACGACTCACACCGTTCGCCCACCCCACAATAAGCTTTGCCGCTGTCTCCAGTGGTGTCCACTCACTCCTGTCGGCATTTGGCATGGCTACGCGGTTCCCGGGGGTGTCGAGCGTCGTGGGGAGCAGCGCGACGACGCACGCC